CGCCGCCGCCCCGCCCCGCGCCTACCGCCGTTCTGGGGGGCTGCACGCCGGGCTCCTCCACTGTGTGCATGCACAGGCCTGGGGGGGCATGGGCTGCGTGGAGGGGGGGGGGGAAGGGTAATCTGTGCCGCTTCTCTCCCCAGGGCTGCTGCCCTGTGTCCCTGTCCCCTGCCATCCCCAGTGGGGGCCAGCCCCGGGGGAGCCGGTGACAGTTATATGCACTTGGTGACACTCTCCATCTGGCCGGCGCTTGCCAGGCTCGGCTCCGTTTTCGGTTCCATTTCAAAGCTGGAATAAAGTAATAAAACCACTGCAGGCTGCTCTGGCCGTTGGAGCATGCATCTACTTTTCGGGCTCGTTTGAAAGCGGAGGCGCAATCCACCAGGGCTGGAGCTGCGCCTCGCCCAGGGCCTCGGTGCTCCCCGCGGGCTGTAAGCACTGCTGTCCCCACGGCACCGGGACAGGACGGGGCTCTGCCCTGCGGGATCCAGACCGGGAAGCTGGTGCTGCCTCCCCAGCCTGAAGAGTTTAAGTTAAAAAGGGAACAGCAGATAGCTTAGATGTGCCAGATCTAATGTGTGCTTTGCTGCTTTCTCCAGGCAGGCGAGCAGCAGGCGCTGCTGGTATTTTGTTTGCCCTCCACCTTGGCCATTGCCCTGTTTTGCTCAAAGCGGGCTGTAAGCACCCCTGCAGCCACGCAGCTCCTGGCTGGTGCTGCTGCAGCCTGGCGTTGCTGCAGCCTGGGCTGGGAGACCCCCCGCCGTGGGGATTGCCCAGCGCCGGCCGACCTTTGTGTGATGCTGGGAGCAGGCAGAGCTTTGCTGTGCAGCGGGAGGGCAGGCCAGGGCCCGGGGAGGAGAGCCAAGCGTTTGTCTGGCTGATTAAACTTTTGCTAACGTGGCCTGCTCGGGGCTTGCTCACGCCCCCGACGGGAGCAGCCGACCGCGCTGGCGGCTCTGCAGAGGAGCTGCACCTGGTGCCTTGGTTTAGGTTACAGAAAAGCAGAACCTATGAGAGAGATGTTTTGGGCTGATGGAGTTCAGTGATCAAACGGGCTCACCCTAATTAACATACGTGGAGGGTACGCTGGTAACACGGCTCGTGCCACCGGCGGCTCCCAGGCAAGGGGCAGCCCAGGACCGCACTGCTCCTGATGCACCGGCTGCGATCCCTGGTTTTACAGAGAGGCTGCATTTCCAAGGGGACTTCTCTGCATCAGCTGCTGCATGACCTGGGCTGCCCCGGTGCCAGCAGGGCTGTCCCCGCCGCCGGGGCACTGCTCG